GAAATGATTCGAGCGGCAGAGCTCACAATCCCAGCAGGCTCCTGGGCTGGCTCGCTCTAATTGAACTGTCACCACAGGCACTAGGGCTTGGTAATGGAGTGCCACTCACGTGCCACCTCTGTTCGGCTGTCACCCCGCTGCACAAAGCACCGGGGTTGTGATAGGGAAGAGAGAGACGTGAAGGGGACGGCGGCAGCAGCACAGGAAGGGATGTGACACAAGTGCTGGACACAAGTACCTGTCTTGTAACATTAAACCAGTGTGGGCTTCCAAACACATCACAGGCCCTGCAGGGAGAAAGCGCCTCTGGATATACTAGCTACCTGCGGGAAGATGAGGACATCGTTGCAAGCCCAGCCTGTGAAGCAGGAACGGAAGCCTGCTTTGTTTAGAGTTGGCCACAGCATGATTTTCGTCTCCCTCAAATATTCTTCGACTGGGTTTTTTTTCCCGTCTTGAATCGGGACCAAACTTCAAAGTTTTGAAAAGGGTCACATATTGAAACGCAACAAATACTTGTCTAGGTCCATCGCAATGTTTCATGTTGAGCATTGCAAAATGTTTTGCTCTGGTGTTAGCCTTTCATAACTCTTTTGTGGTCTAACTTGCTGAAATTTCTAAACAGTTTTGAATCCCAAACCAGGGATGAACCCAAACCATGCATCTGACGAAGTGGGTCTTTGCCCACGAAAACTTATGCTCCAATACATCTGTTAGTCTGAATCTGCAAGAACAACGAGAAGTCCTCTGGCACCTTTATAGACTAACACGGCTACCCCTCTGATACTTGAAACCAGGGATGTTTCATCTAGAATATATCCAAAGGACACATTTTGACAACTGAGGGATGAGGGGGGGTGACATTTTTTTTTTCGTGTCGGAGCATTCACTGAAATTGATGCTGATGCTTTGGAGGATCAGATTAGCATTCAAAATAATCTGGATAAACTGGAGAAATGGTCTGAGATAAATAGGATGAAATTCAATAAGGACAAATATGAAGAACACCGCTGAGGAAGGAACAAGCAGTTGCACACATACGAAATGGGAACTGGCTGCCTAGGAAGAAGTACTGCAGAAGGGATCTAGAACTCATAGCTGACCCTCGTTGATGGGTACACTGCAAGTCAACAGAATAACACTGTTACAAAAAAAGTGAACCTCCTTCTTGGATGTATTAGCAGGAGTGTTGTAAGGCCTCAGCTAGCGTCTTGTGTCCAGTTCTGAGCATCATATTTCAGAAAAAAATTAGAGAAAGTCCAGAGAAGAGCAACAAAAATGATTAAGGGTCTAGAAAATATGACCCGTGAGGCAAGATTTAAAAAAAAAAAAAAAAGGTGTTTGTCTAGTTTGGAAAAGAGAAGACTGAGAGGGGACATGATAGCGGTTTTCAGGGATCTAAAAAGGTGTCTCAGGGATGAGGAGGAAAAATTGTTCTCTTTGGCCTGTCGGAGGTCACTCTCCCTAGCCACCCGGAGGAGCCAGGGGATCCTGCAGCATGCCTGACTTTGCAGATCATGGCCGGACCCCTACCCCAAGAGCAGTAGGGCCTCATCTCAGGGGCAACTGGGCTGCTCCCACCCTGCGCTGTCAGTATGCGTCCTTGCCTGCCCCATGGAGGGATTCTCATGCCTCATGTCGCTGGCCTCTCTCCTTGTCACGGACGGCGGCCGCCAGCTCCGCAGGTGGCTCGGCGCCACTTACAGGACACCTGTCAGCTACATTGGCTCCTTGTCCTTTTTCTGCCTCCTAATTATAAGATGGTGGCTCCCGTTGGCGACAGGGGCTTTTTGTGCACAAAATGTCAAACTGCAGAAATTAAAAATGTAAATGATGGCGTCTAATTAACCAGTTGACAGCAGAGCACAGCTGCGAGTGACAGTGACTGATTGCCTTCCGCCCAGGGGAGGAAGGACATCGAAAATAGCAACTTCCTTAAAGAGACACAGCCTGGCGCGCAAAGCCCTGCGCAGCAGCAGCAGCCGCCGCCAGCCCCAGCGGGGAAAACCCAGCCCCAGGGAAGTCGGTGGAAGTTTTGCCGTGGGGCTGGAATTGCACCCCAGGAGCGGGTATGGGAGGGTGCTGCCAAGCTGGGCCAGACAGGGTGTTCGTAAGACAGGTTGTGGGGGAACTTAGAGGGAGATGCTGGAGGGGGAGGACTGGATTTGGGGTGAGGTGGGGTGGAGTGCAGTGGGGCTGTGGGAGGGGTGAGCTGGGAGGGGTGGGGCGTGTGTGGAGTTGAAGTTGTCAGTGTGAACGCACATGAGTGTGAGGGTGCGTCTGCACTGCACGCCTATTTTGAAATACTCCGAAATACTCTGAAATAGCTTGTTTCGAAAGAGCACGTCTACACTACAGGGAAGCCTCAAAAGTAGTCTGAGTCAGACTCCCCTCGTGTAAACGTGCCATCTCGATTTAGAGCCCCACAAGCACTGGGGAGGAATAACTCAGAATGACCCTGGTGAGGGCTGTTTCCTAATAGCAGCAGTGAAGTGTCGACACACGCACCTTATTTCAAAATAGCTATTTTGGAATCGCTGTTATTCCTCATAGAATGAGGTTTACAGATTTCGGACTAAGCTGTCCGTTATTTCTAAATTATTTCGAAATAACGGCATGGTTGTGTAAACGCGTGCATTGTTATTTCGAAATAACGCTCGTTATCTTGAAATAACGGTGCAGTGTAGGCGCACCCTGAGAATGGCTTTGGCCTGGGTTGCGTGGACTGTGGGTGTCAGCGCTGGGATAGGAGGGTGCGTCGTGTGTGCCGGCCGGGGAGGCGTTCGGGGGCAGTTGGCAATGTGGGTGTGGGAGAGGGATACCAACAATAGAAGGGATGCCCCTTACTGATACAGAAAATTGCCTGTTCTGTAGGAAATCTGAGTGGGACACCTTTTATCCCATATTCCAACTCAGACTGGCTCCTGGCTGATCGTCACACAGCCTTGCTGGTGGCTGGGGAAAACACACGTGCATTGTTCACTGGCATCAATGGAGGGACCATTGGTCCCCGAGGAAATACCCCAGCCCATAAGCTGTGCATGGGTGTGCGGGACCTGGCGGTGGTGCCATGCCCATCGGTCCCACATCGCTGGCAGCATGGCCACCGTGGTACCCCAGGCCCTGTTCTGTGTGCTGGGCCTGGAGCCTCAGCGTGCTCCAACGGCTGGCTCTCTGGGCAGGGCACATAGCTGAGACTGGCCAGTAGGGAGGAGGAAGCCGGTGTGAGGACTCATTGTGACACTGGGGAGACAGGAGCCAGCACGGAGGAGCACGGAGCAGGGCACCTGTCCCGTAGTTCTGAGATGCAGCATTGGCAGCCCTACTGTGGTACCAGCAGAGGGGTGGCTGGGCGAGGTTCGCATGCAGTTGCTTGGGCTGTCCGGTCAGTCGCAATACCGAAACCAGACCCCCTGCTCCTAGCAGTTGGGTTCTCCCAGTTCCGTCGGCCCCGCGTTGCTCTACGCAGTGACCGGATCCCACGCCGGGCAGCACAGCGGTGTGGAGTCAGCTGCAGCGGGCCAGAGCTGCAGGGTTTAGCTCCGGAGCTGAACTCACCCGATTGGGGGCTCTTTGGGTTGGGCCCAGCTCTGCTGGTCTGCTTTGCACAGCTCTCGCTGCCCCCGCCCTGCCCCCCCACTTTGGCCCGTGCAGTGCGAGTCCTCGTACAGCACAGCACCTGGTGGTGAGGGCAGGACACTGTGTTCCTTAGACAGGGCCAAGGAAGGGGCGGAGGTAGGGGGGGCAGTGTCCTTTCTCAGTGTCCCGCTGTTACCAAACAGGCCTGCCTGTTCCAGTCACTGGGGGCCGGGGACAGCCAATCCCCAGAATCATTAACAATTGTCTGCGGCCCCCACAGACGTCCTCTTACCATCTCCAGAGTCCCGGGGCTGACGAGAGCGCGCTGCCGTAAATAACAACCCTGAAGCGTGGGTGCCCACCGAGTGGGCATAGATCTGTGTCTGGCAAGCTTTGCCCTTGAAACGCAACATTGTGGGGGTGTGTGTGTGGGGGGGGGGAACTGTCCATTCTCGTGTGGCTCCGAAGGAGGATTTACCTTGCATGCTTCAGGCGAGCGCCATCACCTTGGGGAGTGTGGATGAGTGGTTAAAGTAGAGAACTAGGAGCCAGGTAGTCTGGCCTCTTTTCCAAGCGCTACCTTTGACGCGCTTAGGGAAGTCCCTTCTCCCGGTGTCTCAGATTGCCCATCTGCAGCATGAGGAAAAAGCTGCTGACCCCACCGGGGGCTGTTTTGTGTTCGTGTCTTGGAAGGGTAACCCACACACCTAGTGTGACGGTACGTTGGGGTTTTCCCATCTCCTGCACCCCCATAGTGGCACGAACAGACTGCACCAGCCAGTAGAATAGAGGGAGGTGCTACCCTAGGTAAGCACAGCACCCCTCACTCGTGCACCCCAATGCCCTGCCCCCGTGTTGAGCCTACACCCCAGACTCTGCCCCCCCAAGAGTCTGTGCCCCTCCTTTTTTTGAGGCATTAGGCTCTTGCGCAAAAGGGGGGGGGGGTTGTGCAAAACGGACCCGTCTACCCTGCTAGTTTTGGCGCAAAAACCTCTGGCGCAAAAAGCATCGGACGAGATTATGCAAATGAAGCACGAGAAAATGCTAATGAGTGCTTCATTTGCATTGCCTCTGCCGCACAAAAAGCCTAGTGTAGACCTAGCCCTTGTGTGGTTCGCTGTCCCATGTTGTGGGGTGGCACTCAGATCGCTTACAGAGAGAGAGAAGAACAAGGGAGCTCTACAGCCTAGGTTGAGAGCCAGTTGGCTTTTAGCTCAAGCGGTAGAGGCTCCTATACTAAGCTTCAGAGATCCCAGGTTCCAATCCGCCTGCTGGCAATTACAGAAGTACCCCAGCACTCCGGGCTGAAAGGTGCAAACAGGCCCCTCCCTTTCCCACGCGACCTGCCCATTGTTAACTAGCAGCCCTGCCCCACGCCTGCTCCCCATTAAACTTGTGATTCTCCCCGCTTCCCCCCGCAGGTATTACTCCGACATCGGCAAAATGCCAGCGATCAGCGACCAGGACATGAACGCCTACCTGGCGGAGCAGTCTCGCATGCACATGAATGAGTTTAACACCATGAGCGCGCTCTCGGAGATCTATTCCTACGTGGGCAAGTACAGCGAGGAGGTGAGTGCGAGGGGAAGCGGGCATGCTGCTGGACTGTCTGAGAGCATGGGCCGGCCAGCCTGGACACCCCCTTGGCCTCCAGTGCCCGACTGGTTTCTTAGGAACCGAGGGCTTGTGCAGGTGAGGGATGGAAAGTAGCGTGGGCAGAGCAGGAACGGGGCTGTTCCAGGCTTCCCACACCCTGCCGTCCTCCCCTTGGGATTTCATGCTCAGCCTGGGATAAACTGAACCCCTCTGGGTCTCCTTGCCAGGGTTTGCTTCCTGTTCTGTATCCCACAGAGCCCCGAACCCTTCTCGTCTCTGCCGTGCATGTGACTGAACGTCCACCGGGGCTGGAGGCCCTGGGTGCAGAGACAAAAGGGAGCTGGTTTCCGCACAGATTGACTCGTGCTGCCCATTGATTTCATGCTCAGCCTGGGATAAACTGAACCCCTCTGGGTCTCCTTGCCAGGGTTTGCTTCCTGTTCTGTATCCCACAGAGCCCCGAACCCTTCTCGTCTCTGCCGTGCATGTGACTGAACGTCCACCGGGGCTGGAGGCCCTGGGTGCAGAGACAAAAGGGAGCTGGTTTCCGCACAGATTGACTCGTGCTGCCCATTGGTGTGTGACACCCAGGCGGGGATGCTAGTTTTGGCTGGGGGGGCTAGTGCGGGAGGGCCCACACATGCCAGGGATTAGCAGGGAAAACCCAATTCGCACAAGCTGCTGGAGTCACACAAGCCAGTCCCCGATCAGCTCCGGGCAGAGAGGGGCAGGGGAGAGGGCTGTCACTTCTTCAGTGGTGGGGGCTGGAAGTGGTGTTTGACAGTGACTAATTACACTGGCTAGGGCCCGCAAGCCTTCCGAAAACCGCCCCCCCCCCCCCCCCC